ATAATCAAACTTGCAGGCTTTGCCTGGAAATCGAATACCTCGACTTTAAGCTCAGTTGCTGTGGTACTCTGCTATTTGCTATTCAGTTGCAGAATACTGCATTCCCATTTGGGCTTACTCACCACAATCTAATCTGGTTGACACTCAACTGCAAGCTACTACATATTATGTGTCAGATTCATTGCATCGTACTTCGTACCGTCAACCAAAATTCACTGGTCACACTACATCATATTCAGACTGGGGAGGAAAAGTGCATCCCTGGATCAGGCAACAATGTCTCACAAAACAAATGCAATCTACATTGTTCTATTCCATCCACTAACTAATCTATTTGGAGAGTTATATGTTTCACAAGTTGGTGACAACAAATGTGCTAAAATGATTGGAAGTAACTGAAGCCTGAAAGCATTAACTAATCAGTCATTATGTAAGCTTCATCAGCAATTGATTTGGATTCATCTTGTATCACATAAAGAGGACTTCTACCCAAAATGCCTATTACAGGCTGCTAATAATGTACCATTCCCAGTCTTCACCCTATCGACTGAAGAAAATAATACTCTTCGACAACTTAGCAAAAATATTTCCCTAAGTGGAATTCTCTTCATAAGGTTTGGAAAGGGGGAAAATGCACAGATTTTTCAGCAGCCTACCATGAAGTATTCAGGATACCCAAAAGTGAACAACCACAGCAGTTGTGGCAGCAATAATTTGCAGATCTCTGTAATATTTTTACTGCAGGGGCCATTTAGATAGCTCAGGTATCCACAATTCAGCATCCATTTGGGTTCTTCAATAAAGTATTCTCAAATCAATTCAAGGCATCAATAAAAGCAGCACCCTGGAGAAAGAGGGCACTTAAAATTATCTGTTGGACTCAAAGTGAATAATTCTGTTATACAATTAAAAGTTCTCAACTTTCTAAAAGAACCCATGTATGGCTTCACTCCCTCTTTCTTTCTGTAACCACCTGGGGGTCTACAACTCATTGTTGCATTCCACCAATTCTGCTTCCCCCATTTTAGTCCCTCCATCACTGATAATCACACTTTCAGATGCCTTTGCTCAAAACTCTGCAATTCTCTCTAAAAAGTTCTACACCTTGCTTAAAATCTACTTGTGATGAAGCCCTTGGTTAACTGCTCATTAACTTTTTATTTGGCTCATTTTCAAGCTTTTTTTTGGTAAAGCATCTTTGTGAAGCACCTTAGGACTACATTAAAGGCATTACAGAAATGCAATGAACGTATCTTCCTCCTTAAGTAGAAATGAGTCTGGTGCAGACAAGTCAGGAATTCCATGGATTGTCATATGCAACTGGCCTGGACATCAATCATAAGACACTTTAAACAGGAAGAGAATGCTGCTGATAAAATAAATACTTTCCTTTACCATCCCCTCTCTTTTATTGTTGGTAAACAATTACTTATCACAATTTAGGATTATAAGAAGAATTAGAGCACCCTATCCTTGAAGATGACTGTAGATAGATGTAAACAAACCCACTGAGCAAAACTCTGTGCTCACTACATAGATGACCTATGCCATCCCAGCAGAAAGTATCATCCAGTTTGAAAACAACTTACAGATCCATAAATGGTAAATTCTCTTGACAAGATGACAGTGGTCTGGTGGGATCTCTTCCTCAAAATTTTGATAGAAGCAAGGTTTCAATGGGATAAACTTTGGAAGTGGGGGGAAATTATTTGTCTTTTCTAAAGAAAATGATAGATTTGTTAACGTGATAGTTACAAGCACATTTACTTTTCACTATTTATCATCTAAATTAAATGTTGCTGAGTGTTACAGAAAACAGGTATGAACATGAGCAAAAGCAAAATGTTGCAGATACTAGAAATCTGAAAATATGACAGAAAAATGTGTAAATACTCAGCAATAATGCTCTGCTAATGTGCATTTGTAGCTGCACAAAATGTGGAAAGTACATAGACCACTCAAATGGTTCCCTGAAAGGTAAGATGTAGTGATTCCTAGGTTAGTAAAATGGTGATAATTTTAAAATGTCTGCTTTCAGAAAGCTCAGACTATATCTCTTTCTAGCAAAATATATACGTCCTGACTGTTATTCCTCTTTTAAAGTAGTGGCAACATGTCAAATGAGTTAGATTCATAACATATAATACAGACAACTGTCAATGGCAGTGTGACTCAGTCTAATATTATAAAGGTGATCATTCAGACAACATGTCCATCCTGGGCCTCCTGCAGTGCCACAACGATGCCACCCGAAGGTTGCAGGAACAGCACCTCATATTCCGCTTGGGAACCCTGCAGCCCAATGGTATCAATGTGGACTTCACAAGCTTCAAAATCTCCCCTCCCCCTACCGCATCCCAAAACCAGCCCAGCTTGTCCCCGCCTCCCTAACCTGTCCTTCCTCCCAACTCAAGCCACACCCCCATCTCCTACCTATTAACCTCATCCCGCCCCCTTGACCTGTCCGTCCTCTCTGGACTGACCTATCTCCTCCCTAACTCCCCACCTACACTCACCTTTACTGGCTCCATCCCCGCCTCTTTGACCTGTCTGTCTCCTCTCCACCTATCTTCTCCTCTATCCATCTACTATCCGCCTCCCCCTCTCTCCCTATTTATTTCAGAACCCCCTTTCCCTCCCCCATTTCTGAAGAAGGGTCTAGGCCCAAAACGTCAGCCTTCCTGCTCCTCTGATGCTGCTTGGCCTGCTGTGTTCATCCAGCTCTACACCTTGTTTATCCCTGTGAAACAAATCTCAGGACTTTGAACCAGTTAAGTTAACAACTATTTATTTGTGAAAGATATGATGGATCCTTCCAACTATGGATTGCAAGGCAAAAAATACATATGATTATGGTCCCCTGTCTGGAATTTGGAGCTGATTTTTGTTCCTCCAGGCACCTGGCAAAAACTAGGAAATTCACCAGTGCGTATCAATACCGGATTTCACATGTAAATTCTTCACCATGGACACAGTTTTAAACTAAACAGCATGACCTTATGAAAGAGAAGTAAAAGAGGTTTTATAATTTTGAAACAGGGATTGAAAGCTTAATGTTTGGGCCAAATTTAAAACCTCACCATTTCTCCTTGCTGTGATTAAACCTACATGTTTAGTAGTTTAGCCTGCTACTGAAGTAGTTTTAATCATCTCTTGAAGACTTATTTACAGGTATTAGAAATTTTCTGTGCAATTACTGTTTGCACGAAACAAACAGAACAGTAAAAAATCATAACACGAAGATAGTTCTTGTTGGTGTTTATCCTGCCTAACAGCAAAACTAATACTCCTGTTCCCATGCTGTTTTTGTTTCAGATTATCTGAATATACACTTGCGATGGTTGTTCAGTGACAAGTGTGTTGGCATTACAACATATTATGCCTAAGGGTTCAGATAATCTACATATTCACAAACATTTAAATATACATTTGTAATGGCGGCTGAATGAGCTACCGTTCCTTCACCACTTAAACTTTTTCTTAAAAATAGGCATTACCCTCAGCAGTTACTCAATACTCATTTTCAGTTTAAACAAGCTTCTTCCATCATGTACCCTATATCCGTGCCTCATAATTCTAGACCCTTCAACCATCGGAATCTCTGCTGACTCAAGTTACTTAACAGTGTCTTTCACGTCTGTTGATCAAGACTGCACAAGTATTTCAATATTTTATTTCAGAGAATGTTGACAGAACTTACCAGTCATGTCTTCAGTTGGATGTCTTGACAACTGTCAGTTCTAAAGATCAAAAACATTTGAAAAGCAAGGATAAAAGAAATTCAGAATTTTATTTACAAATTTTGACATATCATTTAAATATAGGGTACATTTATAGTGTTAGTTCAGTGACAGTGTACTGACTTTAACATATCACACTTAAGGGCTCAGACAAGCACAAGTTTCTGATTTTAATTAGGCCATCTTGGGACTGAAAATATTAATAACCTGAACCTTTATCACTATTCCGTCAGTTCTGGCATTTCAGCATCATAAAATGCTGGAACGAGAAGCTGTATCCTTATTGTAACTTAGTTACTAATATCAATTGGATTTCTAGGCTATAGCAGAAGCAGTTCAGGATGGAGACAATTAAGAAGCCCAATTTTTACCGAAAAGTATAACATTCTCAGTTGGATCTGACAGGATGATTCCCTCAGAGGAGAATCTAAAACTGAAATATAAAAATAAAAGGTTTCCCATTTAAGGCAGAGGTGAGAAGGAAGTTCTCCTCAGAGTTGTTAATCTGTAGCTTCTCTTCTACAGAGAGTAAAGGAATATATTCATGACTAAGCGAGACAGCCCTTTTGATCAGCAAGGTAGCCAAGTGTTAGGAGACGGCAGGTAGGAAAGTTAAGGCCTCAATCAGATTGACCGTGATCTTAATGATTGGTGCAATAGCCTCAAGAGGCAAAATGACCTACTCTTCTTATATCTTAGTTACAAAAGATCCACAAGACTGCTAGAGGAATCAGCCTTTTCCCTCCTGATTAAAGTGAAAATATTTATTTTACTGTTATCTATTTCATAAAGTTTAATTAAGATTTTTCATAGCATATCTACTGGGCACTCTAATTATTTGTACACAAAGTATTGTATATATTCAAAATATTTATTGAAAACATAAAATCTTAAAAGAAAATACTGAAGTTTTAAAAATTTATCTCATGATGCTTCTTGCATTAGGAATGCAAGATCATCAAATTGTTAAATCACATGGAAGAATCCCACCCATATTTAAAGATAATCAGCATGTTCTATTCACAAAATTCAAGAATTTTTTGCTTAGGTTTTCAGCACAATGGCTACTCCTGGATTACGTACAACATGCACAAATGTTACAAGTGCAGTCAGTGCTGCTACCAGGTGGTTATATGAAAGATATGAAATAATGGCGAACACATGAAATGCAAATGTTGCCACAATACATTGGCCTAAAAATTTTCATCCTAAGTAATTGCAAAATCAATCTGAATTTTAACCGGTGTTTTTTTTTATAATTTGCCAGAGATGTTTCCATACCATGTGATTCAGTCAGATAATCTTTTATTTTAAACTACTTTCAAAGTTTTTAGGAAAAAACACACATATACAATGTTCTTCATAACCACAGGTAATTCCAAAGTGTTTTAAAGCCAATGAAGCAGTTTTGAAGTATTGTCATTTTTGTAACTTAGGTAATACATCAATTTCCATACCGCAAGCATCAACCCCTGCCACAAAATAAACCTGACCAGATAATCTTTTCACACAAGGGTGTTTCATATGGAATGAACTGCCAATGGTAGATGTAGGTACAGTTACAACATTAAAAAGGAATTTGGATGGGTACATGAACAGGCAAAGTTTAGAGGAATACTGGCAAGTGGGACTAGTGTAGTTTGGGAAACTTGGTTGGCACGGATGAGTGGGACCGAAGGTCTGTTTCCGTGCTGACTCAATGTTGAGAGAACCATTAACCAAAACACCAGTAATAAAATGTCTCTGGAATAGTGCCATTAGAGATTTCACATCCAAAGGAGGACAGATTGGGGGTCTCAGTTTACCACTTCATCTAAAGACAGCACCTCCAACAGTATGGAAGGTTTAATGTTTTATCTCAAAGACAGATGGCAGTAGTTAGCAAGACAATACCAGATACCATGCTAATGGAGCCCTTAGTTTGGAATACTATGTCATAATCTGCATCAGAGTCTAATCCAAACGGTTTAAAAATTGAACCTTTAATGTAATATTAAAAGCTGCCATTGTGGAATTTTTATGCACCAGATTGTAAATTTTACAACTAAATGGCTACACTTCAATCAATATTTTAGCCAAATGAATAAGTTAATCTAATGCCTTCATGATAGTAACCACATTATAATGGAAGAAAATGTTAAAGTCATGACACATAATTCCCAATAATGTCACAAGGAACAAACTAAGTGAACAGCTTATTTTTATTCACTCGTGGGACATGGCCTTTGCTGGCTGGCCAGCATTTTCTGCCCACCACCAATGTCCTGAGGAAGGTGGTGATTATCTGTCTTCTTGAATGTGCTGCAGGTAGATCTACAATGCCCTTAGGGAGGGAATTTACTACATCCAGATAATCCCATTTTAACTCTATTCTGCGGCAATGCTAAGCTGTGATAGATAAAACCTACAAAGAAAGAGTAAGTAAACACCATGAGTGAAAACAGTTCATCCTATTTCAACATATCATCTACTTTAAATTGGAAAGTGGCTTTGTGCAGATGCATAAAGGAACCTCTGCCACTACCTTTCAATTGCAAGATTTATAGCATTGAACAGAACTTTTGAAGTTTATGACTAATAGCTTGAAACTTATGAGGGAGCACAATAGCAGGGTCATCGGATGTATCACAGCGCGGTGCAAACTGGCGGTTATAATCAATCTCTATTTAGATTCACTGCCCTCATCCTTAATAACAGAGTATACGCTACCACTAAATCAAGTTAAACAAAATTATAACTGTTAGATAATCAAGAATAGAATTAAAGAATCACTCCTTTCTGCGATCCTCAAAACACACTGGTGAAATGGGGAGGAGAACGTGAGAAAGAAATCAATATCTCCACAGTTCACTTCTCTCTTCCAGCAGCTAAGTGAAATTTACATTGTTGTACATTTCAAAAACTCATCTCAAGAAATTACCACATGGAATCTCTCAATCATGATACCAGCTTGGATTACATACTAAAAAGGATCACTACCAACAGGAGAATATTTCAATGACATCCATTCCCAACTCAGCTGATAATAGTGGCTTGCCTGAAGTTCAATACCTTGTTTAAAAAGCTACTAATAATAATTGTCACCTCTTCTGCTTTAGTAATGAGATTTGCAGTAAGATCCTGGAAAGTCAGTTTTGTGTAGCCCTTTGACACAGTTCACGTAAGCTTCACTAAACATTGCCCTTATCAGCTTTTATGGTATTCTGACTAACCATGTTTTATTGGTAGTCATTAAAATAAAAGTTTTATATATACTTTAGTTTAAACTGAAACACTATTACCATCAGCAAACATGCAACAAAAACCCTCATTTTCACTTCAAAGGTCATATATATGTAAATACCACTAAGCAGGTTTCACACTATACACAATTTTATCCACAAATTGAAAGGATGTAATAAACATTGTGATCCAGAACAGTTTCACAGACTTAAATACCTTTATCATTTGTATCATCAATTTATAGCATATTATGGTTGAATCACTAAGACTTTGCCTCCTTCCTATCTCAGCAACCTCCACTGGTTCTTCATAAACCCTACCTTTTCCTCATCTCCCTTTACTCAAAACAAAGCACTAATCAAGCCTCCCCTCACTATCAAGATTTTGCAGTACGCAAAATGATGGCATTTGTCATTGACACAGAATCAAGCATAAAGATCTAGTGCGCATTTCATCTTTCATAACATTGCATTTATTCTGAGATAGTAAGGAACTGAAGATGCTGGAGTCAGAGATGACAATGTGGAGCTGGAGGAACACAGCAGGCCAGGCAGCATCAGAGGAGCAGGAAAATTGACACTTCGGGTGTTGCTGCCTGTGTTCCTCCAGATCCATATTGCATTCATTCTAGTGTTATCACAAGGGCATGTTGACATTTCACAATGATGTCATCAGACAGGCTAAACAGGCAGTCACACTGAAGAAGTCTCAAAGGCTGGACAATATTTTCTAATCATCCACTCCATAAACATTATTACACACCCTTGGAGTAGGTGGATCTCGAAACCCGGTCTTCTGGCTCAGAGCAAGGGATGCTACCAATGCACTGCAAGACCCCTCTCACAAGCTGCATCGCAAACCAAGTAATAAAATGCACTTAAATCAGACCTCCAGCAGCAAGTGATGACAATGATGGAGAGCAGCTGGAGCCGTTGAATGCAATAAAATGCATTGGACAAAAACGTTTTTGGTAGGGAGGGGGCTAATAAGAAGAGAGAGGGATCAGACAAAGGAATTCCTCAAACTATACATAGTCATTCCATAGAGTCAATAGTTATTTGCTTATTCTTAATGTCCTTTCTTGTTTCAAATGACCTGAAGTCAATGGAATAAAGATTCCCTACTTCATGGCCTTTGGATATCTGTTTTCAAATCTCACGTGATATATTTTTGGTGTAGTTGACAGGTTCCACTACACAGGCATAGAGTCATGATGGACGAGGTTGAATGACCCCTGGCTGAGATATAGCAGATGGCGGAGGTGTTGAAACTGAGAATATCCGGGAAGGAGGCTGATGCTGCTCAGAAGTCATTGGAGGCTAAGATACTGGCAGAGAGAATCAGATCTTTAGGCCAAATCCAGGCAGTCATCCAATTTGCATTCCTTGAATACTATGGAAGAAGGAAGCAGTACCCCAGATCGGATATTCTATTTGCTTATATGAGTAGGATTTGGGGAAAAGACCAGAAACACCTGATGATCCAGGAAATGAATACTGGATTGAGGATGTATAGCCATTTATGACATCAAGCAGCCTTAGTGCCAGTGAGCAGCTGGTGTTTGTGATGGTGCAACAGAAGCAGGAAAAACCCATCGGGAAATACTAAGAAGAAGCACAGACATTCAAATTAGTTTGCAGTAGATCTTTGAGCAATTGACTGGAATTTTTGCGGACAACAGTCCTCGAGGTACAGTAGAGACTTTATGCATATAAGCAAGCCAAAGGGGGAGGATCTTGTTTCATGTCCTTGGAACTGGCAAAGTTGTTCAATTGCAT